ATGAATGTGAATGTCTCGAATTTGACTGGTTGGAACTGATATGAAATCTTGCCCTCCCGTTCCCATCAGTAATATAGTAAAAATTTGAGGGCAATGAAAAATCGCTTATACAGATGTCACGTCACAAGAATTGTGACGCAAAAAGTGCTTGGAGGATCCAAGTAGTCCAAATGATAAGCTATAATAGCTTCGAATTGTCAGTTTCCAGTTTCATCAGTAAGAGACAGCCTGGGTCACAATTGGTCGAGTTTGGTGCTGCATAGTCTCGGTTTGAGTAGAAGCTTCAGCGGTACTAAGTTTCCTTCAATCTCGCGTTTTTCCACTTATTTGTGGGTGCCTTCCAGATAGGTCTTATGGGCAAGGCCAAACAATGGCCATATTAAAATGTATTGTACCCAGTTATGTGAGTGAACTTTAGATTTATACTATTTGTTAGAGAATGTTTCTATACAGGAAAGCGGACGCGGATGCGCTTCCATAGGCTGCTTTCATAGTCCGCCGGGGTGGTGCTACGAAGGGGGAGGGAGGCAGACGATCGATCGACGCGGTGCGACGCGCCTGCCCGGTCTCTCCTCGCTCCGTTCGTCTTGCTGCACCTAGCCTGCCAAGTATGGTTGTGTTCTTAGCGTTTACCAGCCGTTGTTCGTTTTTTTTCAAATCTGAAGCGTTCTGGAACGTATGAATGTGAATGTCTCGAATTTGACTGGTTGGAACTGATATGAAATCTTGCCCTCCCGTTCCCATCAGTAATATAGTAAAAATTTGAGGGCAATGAAAAATCGCTTATACAGATGTCACGTCACAAGAATTGTGACGCAAAAAGTGCTTGGAGGATCCAAGTAGTCCAAATGATAAGCTATAATAGCTTCGAATTGTCAGTTTCCAGTTTCATCAGTAAGAGACAGCCTGGGTCACAATTGGTCGAGTTTGGTGCTGCATAGTCTCGGTTTGAGTAGAAGCTTCAGCGGTACTAAGTTTCCTTCAATCTCGCGTTTTTCCACTTATTTGTGGGTGCCTTCCAGATAGGTCTTATGGGCAAGGCCAAACAATGGCCATATTAAAATGTATTGTACCCAGTTATGTGAGTGAACTTTAGATTTATACTATTTGTTAGAGAATGTTTCTATACAGGTAATCGCTGCACTTCGAGCTGCATACTGGAACCCTGATCGTGCCGTAGAATATTTACTGACTGGAATTCCGGATGACGAGCAGATGCCTATTGAAGTTGGAGGTGAAGAAGAAGAAAGTGAAGGAGGTAAGTTGGAATGGGAATGAATCTACACTTCCATTGCTGTTCGCAATCGCTAACATTTTTGAATATTGATTTGCCCAGCATGGGCCGTGCCCCGCAATGTACAGTAAAGCAATCAACACGAGAGTTTGCATAGTTATGCTCATTCGCTTTAATAAATTTACTTTGATTCTATGATGGGGTTCCGATTAGAGCTAGACTATTTGTTCTTATCCAGCTCTTCTTAACTCCGCTGCGTCTGATTTTTATGATTTGATTCTCTGGGTGTTTTTCTCTTTACATATGACCGTTTCCTCCAGTCATTTTTCTTGTCGTCTTTCTTCTCAGATAGCTTCTCCCCCTCCCCCCCCCCCCCCCCCCNTTTTTTTTTTTTTGAAATTTCTGAAGTTTTCGTTATTCCTTCTCACCTTGCTTTGTCGTAATCTGCCCCTCAGAACTTCCAGGTGAAGTACCGGCCTCTCAGCTTGAAGCACTGCGGAATCTACCACAAATGGATGAGCTTCGTAATCTTGTGCGTTCCAATCCTGAAATTCTTCCCTCATTAATTCAGGTACGGCTGTTCGCAAAAGTAATTTTTACCGTTGCAGTTTTTGCTCAGAAATGCTTCAAATGTTATGTTTCCAGCAAATCGCAGCTGTAAATCCTGAGCTGATGGAAATAATTCAAAACAATCAAGAGGAATTTTTGCGCATTCTGAATACGGCGCCTGGTTCAGGAGCTTCACAGGTTTCCTCATTTTCCATTGATTGTACACAGGTTTACTCATTTACAATTGATTGTGTAGATGCAAATATATGGATAGTGTACATCAGTGATGGCCTGCTCTGAAGTAGAGTGACTTTTGGATTTTGAGATATAATATAACCTGTTGATCTACGCATATTAAGGTGTGTATACAACAGAGAATACATCAAAAGAGTTATATGTTGTTGGGCGACCTTCGCCACTTGGTACTATGGTCAGTAGGCTTTCAAACAATCGAGCCGAGAGTGTTTGTAGAGAGTGCCGTCTGCTGTAAGAGCGCTAGACCATCGTGAAAATTTGTCCTTCAGTTGATGGATTATTATACTAAATCGGTGGGCTGTGCCCATGGCACCGTTACGGTGCACGTCCGACCCCTCCCCCCCCCCCCCCCCCCCCC